ACTGTTTCTACACAGGCCCACAAATACAGTGTGAAATTGGAATTTCTGTCATAATAGATGAGTATCTCAGGGTAGTTTTTTTTTTTAATTTTGTAATAGTTTATTTTTACACATTTTTGTGCATTTTTCCATCTTAGTTGCAATCCCCTTGGGTTTCCCATCACCAAATCACCCATGTGCCATCACCATAGTCCAGTGCACTTCCCTCCCCCCACTGTTTTTGATCCCACTCCCTACTCCACCCCCACAAAATGTCTCTGGTATATAGCTGTTCATCATTATCATTATTTTCTCACCTATTCCATTATATTCCTCTCAGGGTACTTTCAATTTAAATCTCTCTCTTTTTTTTCTTTCTGAGTGAGTTTAAGGACCATCTGTCTCTGAACTCTTGATTCATTCCTAAAGTATGTTTCCATGGGGTTTTTTATAGTTTTGTGTTCTCTACTTTTTGAAACCCATTACATATGAAGGATATTAAACTCTTTGGCATAAGATGCAAATGTTTCCCCCCAGTTTGTCACTGTCTTTGTTTATTGGGCTTTATACTATATGCGAGTCTTCTATCTTTATATAACCAATTTAGCCTACATTTTCCTGGAGACGCCTCTAACACTGCAGTGCTGCAGCCATTTTTAGTCATTTGTGCTGCACTGACAGGAGCTTCTTCCCCAGGTTTTGTGAACATGTTTTATCTTTGTTTCAGATGAGCCTGAGGAAACTCGTGGATGTCTGAGGAAGGCATATGACTTATTCTGTGGCTTACCAAAGAAAGGCCTCAAGCTGACTAAAGAGGAGAAAGAAGCCCAGAGAAAGAAGCTGACAGACACATCTGAGAAGCCCTTCTGGAGGACTGTTGTGAACCTCAACGCCATCCTGCTCCTGGCGGTGGCAGTCTTCATCCATGCCTACTACGCCTGAACTGTAGCTCAGCCACAGGCTATTTACTAAGCAAATCAATCATTTTATTTATTTTTTATTTTTAGAATTTGTTGTGCTGCAAAATGGAGAAAAGCAGTTGGTGATTTTAATTGAATGATATGACAATGGATCTGGATTTTTTGCTTTTCTTGTTCCTTTGGGTCAAAAAAGGAGTTGGTCAGCTAGAAGTCAGTGAGATGATTCTATGTATGTATGAACTAGGACTACCAAGTTGAAACACTTCTTTTTTCAGTAGCACACCAAGCAGATTACTTTACCTTGTCAGCACTTTGAGCAGCTTCCGGAGACTAGCCCTAGAGGGAGTGCCTTTCCCGAGTCTGCCTCACCTTGTGACCAGTTCCTGCCTTCATCTCAGCGACCTCAAAGACCTGGAAAATAGAAACAGCCCTAATGACTTAGGGGAGATGAAATATTTTTATAAATTACCTGGAAGTTATTATCTTATGCCTTTAATAAAGCCATCTCCCACTAAATGTTACCTTATCAAGCAACTGGATTTTTCAAAACATGTTGTTAAACTCTAATTTAAATGTCATAAAATGCACCTTTTAAGTATATTATACTTGAATATACTAAGTATATTTTAGAATATTCAAAGATGTACAACAATTATCACTATCTAATTTTAGATGTTCACATTTATTAGTTGATATTGTTAATTTTATATATAGATATATCTTTGTCTTTTTTCCTGATTTCTTTTGAATTACTGAATAAAAACTCTATGATTATCTAGCATTAAGGCTATACAAGATTTAAAAGACACCTTTTTGTATCTCTAAAGAATGCAAAAACATTAACTTGAACATACACACACATTCCTATGTTCATGGCAGCACTGTTTATAATAGCCTAGGTATGGAAACAACCTAAGTGCCCAATGACAGATGAGTAGATTAAAAAGATGTATGATATATGAGAAAGGGAATATTATTCAACTGTTTAAAAAAGTGAATTTTTGCCATCCCTGACAACATTGATGGAACTGGGATACTACTTCTAGTATAAGTATGTTATATATCTAGGTATATTATACTTCCAGTATAAGGGGTTATAAACAAAATAAGCCCAAGGAGAAAGACAAATAGCAATTATTTCACACATCTGGAATGTGAAGGGACAAAACTAAATCAAAACAAACTCCAGGAATCTGACTGCAAAGCTGAAGCTATCTTGAGTTACTGTTAAGACTATAAAAGTAGGCTGGAATGGGACTGAGACGGAGTTCTGGGGCTGAACAACACTCACCTGCATTCTTCAAAGCTATTCAAACAGTGCTGGCTGCAGGAACCTCACCCACACCTGACAAATTTCATGCCACATGCCACAAACTAATCAGGCAATGCCACCTTCGTTTACTAAAACCTAACGTGGAGATTAGAAGGGGAAGAGCTGTAAGAAACTTCTCTTCTCCCACTAAGCACATGCGCAGTGACTTCAGCACTGCAAAGAGTAGGTTCTAGTGTTCTAGAGGTAGAAATTTCTCTAAGCAAGCACCAATGCCTGGCTCAGTTGCATAGACATAAGCCCAAGTAGGTCAAAGGCTCAGGATCACCTTAATGCAGCAGGGAAGAAGACTTGTCTTCTCATTTTGAGAGATTCCTTTTGAAATATTCAGACATATTTAAAGGCATTTTTTTTTGCCTGATGAGCACGATTTTTTAATTCTAGAAACTGAACATTAATAAGTAGCCACTCTGTTCCACAATACCCTCTTTCCATTTTAGGTAAAGAATAATTCTTGTACCCTGAATTTATTCTAGCACCCTTTATCAGTTACTTGTGGTTGGTGTGTTCTAACAGGACATGATGTATCTAGTAGGTCATAAATGAGGAGAGTTATTCACCTCATACTTACTAGAAATTTTGAGGTTGGAGTCATCTCCAAACTTTGCTGTATATATTTTTAATTGTTCAAGTTGCTAGGTTCTATTCTCACTCTCACTGTCCTGGCTTCTGCTTCCTACTCCAGATCTTGAGCCAACTAAAGTTCACCCAGGCATGGTCTCTGTATAGAATGTCTAGAGAACAGAAAATCAGGATGTTATGGTTTCTTAATGTTTTTATTTTATCAAAGTAACATTTTAATTTTCAGGATTAAATTCAGTTTAATATAACATCAGTATGGTACCTTTCATGGAAGTATCTCCTGCCCCCTTTATGAAGTGACCTTGTCACAACCCAAGGAGGTATGTTGACACTACAAGCACCAAGATTCCCATTTTTTTTTTCAGAAAGAAAAATACACAGATGAGAAAAATAATTTAACATGATATACAGTAAGTCACTGACAAAGCCAGAAACAGAACCCTGCCAATACAGATATGCTGTGTCCACTCTATTCACCAACTTTTAGTCCTCTCCTTTTATCCTGTCAAAGCTCGTGAAAATTACAAACTGCCCCCAAACTAAACACTGAATAACCTTTGAAGTTCTTTGCTCTTCCCCCTTTTCCACCTAGTTTAAGGAGGCTGTTGAGAGTATTCTGTTCTCTGTTTTCCTTCCTTCCATAAGTACAAACCATCCCTTCACCTGCTGAGCCATTTTCATACCCTAGAACCAGTCCCACTTCCATGGAATCTCAGAACCCAGCTCTTTTCTTAACTATCCTGAAATCGGTTGATTCTAACTTGGTGAATTTTTCTTAACTTCAACGGGATTATAATATAATTGAGATTTTTGTAGGTAGAATGAGAGGAATCAAATTAACTAAAAGTAAATTATCTTTTATAGAAAACAGGCTCAACAAGAAAGGCACACCTCTCAGTTAAAAATAATGGGAGGTTCTACCTAAAACTGAGACCACCTACCCTAACCTTGATCACTTACTAACACACCTGAAAAAAACAAAAGGAAGGGTTGGGCCCTCCCTGCTCCCTGGTGGAGCAATGGGTTAAGTCAGCACTATGAGGCTGCCCACAGCCACTGCACTGTGAATTCGATCCCCAGCCAGGGAGCTGACTCACATGGCGCAGCAGACCTCTCCTGACCCACCTGCTGCTCCCCTCAGCAGTGTATTTTAGTACATCTGCCTGTTCTGCTCCCCACTCTGTCTCTGGTGAATCCTCTCAGCACCTATCTACCTCTGGCCAGTACTGTATGCATAAATAAATAAACATTAAAAAAAAAAAGCAAGGGAGAGGGTAGCTGCTTTAAGATTAGAGATGCCTCGCAAGAGGAGCATTGCTCTACTATGTGACACAGAGCCAATTTCTAAGTTTGATGGTCAACATCCACTCCCTGGGGAAGAGCAGCCTCTGGAAAGTGCACTCCCATTGCCAGGTTGCCTCCTCCAAGATGCCAGATTTCCTACTCTATGCAGCTACAAGGACAGGTAAACCAGGGATCAGGGCTTTGTAAAAAGAGAACAGTTGTTTGTAATGAACACCCAGAAGATTCATTCACACACATGCTGCTGAGGGTCTGGGACAACCCAGGCACAGTAAATGTCAAAATGAATGAAACCCCAAACTCAAGGCATCCATAAAGAACATTTCCAAGGCCAGATACTCAGAAGATTATCTACTTTCATTATCTTAGGAAAGGTCTGCTATTCCCACGTCTCTCCTGAGAGCAAACACCCAGAACTTCTGTAAGTGAGCACTTACGCTTGGCTCCACTTGACATCAAGCTCTCACTCAAGTTTCAATGCACTCATCAGTTTCTCAGACTGATTTTGTGTGTCTGTCAGGAAAAACCTGACAGGGACGCAATGAAGGGATATTTTTTCTTTTAAAAAATTATAAGGAGGGTATTAAATTGGGCAAGTGACAGTAACCAGGGAGACCACACTCTTAACACAATATTCAAAGACCTTAAACAAAGTCGACATGCTGAATCTACCTGACAAACTGGCCTCAGACACCTGGGGCTTCCACTTCCCAGCCTGCCTCTTCTTAAACAAGGATGAATGAATTTTTTTTCTGCAGCTTTAGTATATATAGTTGACTATATCACACTAGCCTCAAATAAATTAACAGCAAATTATTTTTTTCTCCAGTTATCATGTAATTGCACATGTATACATTTATCAATTGGGACAAAATTTACAACTGGTTGGTTTCCCTAGAACATCACAGAAAAGACTAAAAGGAGACAGAGTAAAGAGTTCAGCCTGCAGGAGAAGACAGGGCTCAGGCAAAATACGCATGGCAGAAGACGGCCACAGCCAGCAGAATGATGCCATTGATGTTCACTACTGTTCGCCACAAAGGCTTCTCAGAGGTGTCTGTCATCTTTTGCTTCATGGCTTCCTCCTCTTCCTTTGTCATCTTGGGCCCCTTTTGTTGTTCCAGGCCACAAAACATGTCATAGACCTTCCTGCAGCATCCTCTGTTCTCAGGAACTTCTGTGTCAGGAAAAAGGGATACAAGAGTTGTTTGTTACAGAAGTAGAAAGCACTAGAAAAGGTTTCCAGGGGAGATGCCATACCATGGAACATTTACTATTCTGAGCACACTTCCAAATTTTCTAGTTTGCAGTAGTGGAAATAGTACCAAATGTTTGCATGAACTTAATTTAAGATGATGTTAGCAGGTGGAACCTACATCCTTAAGATTATGTAGACTATGTTTTATCTCTATCAGGCCCAATAAAAATGTACTTTTATTTATAGCCAAACCAAAATACAACATTTTTGGGAGGTAAATGTTAACAGTAGACTGGGGGACAGTGATATATGAAGGACGTGGAAGATAAAGTTCTGAAACATGTACATTCAAATCTGCTCTCTACATCATTGGAGGAAAATGAAACTGGCATGACTCAGAAGTTCATGCTGTATACCTAGAAATTACAAATCTTCATACCAGAACCAACCTTGTGACAGGACTGGTCTGAATAGTACCTGATACAGTGACATGCTGATTAACATTACAGGACTTAAACTCGAATATTGCATATCAATGCAGCTGAATCAACCATCCTATCTGTGCTGCCATTAAAACTAGATGCCCACCAAGGGGAAGAGATTCTCTCCTCTGAGCCAAGATGTGGCAATGGAGGCAGACACACCTGCCTTAGAAGCTCAGGTCTGGGGAGAGAGCACAATAGACCATGGGGATGAGCTGTAGGAGCTTTGTTAGGGGGTAGTAACAACACCCAAAGGTGGAGATTCTATATCTCCAAAACATAAAAAAAAAGTATATAATCTAATGCAATATAAATTTACAAATAATAAAAAAAAACAGTTAAAGAAATTCCTCTTAAGAGAGAGAGAAAAAGAAACCCAGGTCTTTAACTCATCAGGTAGGAAATGAAGCCCACTATGCTTTAGTACCATGGTTAAGAAACAACTAGTTTCTACTCATCATTCTTAAGAGTCAGGGTCTTTCAGAATTGGAAAGAGCCTTCATGATCAAGCTTATAACTATAGCAGAACTGGGAACAAAATCCAACTTACACCTTGGTAATTCACCCCTCTTTATAGATATATGTACATATACATAGACACATACATATATACATACATATGAAGCTGAATAAATAATACCTCTTCATTACAAGGTTTTATGAGAGAATGTCAGTAATGGATTAGAGAAATGCTAGTCTCCCTCCATTCTTTCTTTTCTCTAATATACACAAGAAAAAGAGACAAACATCCTTGCTCCTCTCAATTTTATCCTATTCCACCCATATAAGAGAATGAGAAGAGTAGCAAGGCATTGGGTTCTCTGATCACCCCAATAACAAATATTCCTCATCCACCTGCTTTCAAATCAACAATACCCTCACTCAAGGTGGAGATCTTTTTGGAGGTAAAAGAAGTGGAGGGTATGTCCACACCCTCACCAACATTTATTGTTGCTTTTTTTTTTTTTGATATGTGCCATTCTCATTGGGGTGAGGTGGTATCTCATTGTAATTTTGATTTGCATTTCCCTTATTACAAGTGATGCTGAACATTTTTTTTCATATGCCTGTTGGCCATCTGCATTTCCTCTTTGGAGAAGTCTCTGTAGCTCTTCTACCCATTTTCTGATGTGGTTGTTCACCTTATATTTGTTGAGTTTCATTAGTTCTTTGTATATCTTTGTGATTAGCCCTTTATCATTTGTATTGTGGGCAAAAAATTTCTCCCAGTCAGTGGGGTTTCTGTTTGTTTTATGTAATGTCTTTTTTGCTGTACAGAATCTCTTCAATTTGAAGTAGTCCCAGCTGTTTATCCTTTCTGTCACTATCCTTTCTTTGGGTAATGTATCTTTAAAGATGTTATTGAACTCTCCTACATGGCTGGTGGGAATGCAAACTGGTGCAACCACTATGGAAAGCTATGTGGAAGTTTCTCAAACTGCTAAAAATGGAGCTTCCATATGACCCGCAATTCCACTCCTAGGTATCTACCCAAAGGACACAAAAACAATAATTCAAAAGGACACCTGCACCTCTTTGTTTACTGCTGCCCTATTTACAATAGAGAAGATGTGGAATCAACCCAAATGTCCAAAAATAGATGACTGGATCAACAAGATGTTATATGTATACACAATGGATTATTACTCAGCAATCAAAAAAGATAAACTCGTGCCACTTGCGACAACATGGATGGAACTGGAAAAGATCATGCTTAGTGAAATAATCCAAAAAGAAAAAAAAATACCAGATGGTTTCACTCATAGAAGGAGTGAAAGATATATATATATATATATACACACTTATATATATATATATGTGTGTGTGTGTGTGTATGTACCCATAAATAAAGTAAAAAATAACATCAACTAACAACTATAAACCAGAGACATTCTACAGGAAAGGAGAGGAAAAAGACTAAAATGGGTGGGAAGAGCACATGGGCTATGATGATGGCACATGGGTGAAGTGGTGGTGGGAAGTCCACGGGGATTACAAATTATATGAAAAAATGTACAAAATGAAGAATAATGTAAAAAATTTATTTATAAAATACATTTTTTTTTTTTTTTAAAGTGGGGGTATGTTTAAACTGTTCCAGGAACACAGGGAGGTGGCTACCTTTTCAGCACCATGGGTGGGAAGAGCACATGGGCTATGATGATGGCACATGGGTGAAGTGGTGGTGGGAAGTCCACGGGGATTACAAATTATATGAAAAAATGTAC